ATTTCTTCAATCAAATTTTTGATTTCTTTTAGTCTTTGATGTTTCAGAAATATATATATATATATATATATATATATATAAATAAATAAAAATGACAAAAAGACATCAAAATTACTAAAACTTTAACTGTAATTAAAATAAAATGAAATGAAAAATATTCAAATAAAATCTAATTTAAAATAATAATATAAAAACAATAATAATGATACTAAAATAAGACTGGCTTAATTTGAAATATTGTAAATGTTCAGGAGTATTACAGGTTTGAAGAAAATGTGTTTTATTTGTTAGATTTTCCTCCATGATGAGGCTCAGCATCTCTCTTCGTTCTGACCCAGTTATCGTACATCTCCAGTTGAGTTTATTGTTTGTTGAGTGTGTAAACAGCAGCTGTTGTTTAGAGACATGCTTCATATTGGGGAACGATTTTGCCCTAAATGCTAACAAATTCACTGTCTCTCAGCCAAATAACCAGTGGGACATCCTCGGGTCCTGAGTTCAGTGCTGAAAGTTCATACATTATCTGCAAACTAGCTGTTATCTTTCCATCTTGCAAGAGAGTGAATTTTTCTCTCATTTCACCCGAACAAACTCTTCTGATTTGTAGGATCGTGCGGACCAGGATGACCCTCCCTGTAACTGCACACAGAAGTTTTCCATCGAGTATCTGTCTGAGGGACGCTACAGGCTCGGAGACAAGATCCTGTTCATCAGGGTAGGAGCAGCTTTTTTACGAGTCTTTAAAGTCACAATAAAGTGGAAGTAGCAACAGATCTTTTCTTGCATATTGTGACATACGTCCAAATGTGTAAAAGATCAGAAATGATCAAATGTAGGGCGTGACTTGGTTCTATGTATCAGCTGTTGATTGGATTTTAAGATGTGGGTGTGTCTCTCTAAAGTGGAGGCGGGGTTTAAGAGCACTAGATGTTTAGAAAAGCCCTGCAAACGTCATCAAAGAGAAGTGTCCTTTCACTGGAAGATCCAGTTATGACATTTTGATCCAAAAGAAACATATGCATGGATGAATTGTTCACATTCATCTATCAAAATCTATAACATGCATTTAGAAAGTAGGTAGGGTGAATTTTAGAATCGGCACTGTTACATTATCTTGTTTTCATTCTGTTAAAATCACATTGCAGATAAACCGTATGCAAACACGCTCATCTGAGCGCGCTTGCCTCTCATTCACAACTACTGTAGCAATCCACTAAAGCCAATCTAGTTTGTTTAACCAGCACATGCTGAACTGTCATAACATTCGCTCACACAAACACACACATCCAGATTAGGTAGAACATGCACATACACACAGTGCTTCCTGATAAAACACTGCGGTCAAACTACATGCCAATATATCAAGTGAGTTTAATAGTGATGCACCGAAAATAATTTTTTTTGTTTCGGCCTGAACAGTTTTGGATGGATGAAATCATCTCTTCCTTATTGCTGCTAGTTATAGCATGAAATAAACATGAATGAACATCAAAATGTATTGAACTAAACAGTACAACTTACTGAAATGATTCATATAATTGTTCAGTCAGTGTTTAAACCACAGAAAGACAGCTTATAAACATCACATTTACCTGAGAAAAGCCATTCAATATCCATAAACTCATCTAGTTAGCTTGAAAAAATAACTCTAGATTACATATTCATTATATTTTTACTTAACCTGTTGAATTCATTAATATGTATAAATCTGTCATGAAAACAAGTTTTGAAGACATTTTTTAAATGTTTATATTTCAACAACAAATTGGAGTTGAAACATAATTATACAATGAAAAAGCTGATATAAAAGCTGCCTAATGTGCAATTTATATGTTAGTACAATTTTTTTTAAAATGCTGATTATTAAATAAATTTGATTAATTAATTGTTTATTAAATATTTTTTTCCATTTGAGTTTTTTGATAAATAAAAACGTCAGTTTTTATTTGAGTGTTGATTATTAAATTTAATATTAAATAATTGATTATTAAATACATTTTATTTAAAAATCGAATATATAAAATCGAATAAAAACTGTCTTGTGCAATTTACATATTTATATACATCTTAGTTTTTATTTAAATGTGGATTATTAAATGTGATTAAATTGATTATTAAATAAAAAAAATTTTTGGCTAAATAAAAACTAATTAACTAATAAAAACTGTTTTGTGTTTAATTTACATATTTATATACATCTTAGTTTTTATTTGAGTGTTGATGTTTACATTTGAATAAGTAATTGTTTATTAAATAAATGTTTGTTTTTTTCTTTCGGTTTTTGGCTAAATAAAAACTAATAAACACTGCCTTATGTGCAATTTACCTATTTATATGCATCTTAGTTTTTATTTGAGTGTTGATTTTGAAATGTAATTAAATAATTGATTATTAAATAAGTTTTATTTTCGGTTTTTGGCTAAATAAAAACTGCATTATGTGCAATTTACATATTTATAAACATCTTTGGTTTTCATTTGAGTGTTGATTTATTAAGTACATTTGATTATTAAAAATACTTACTGATTTTGGTAAAAAGTAATTTCGGTGCATCACTAGTATACATTATGTTGCTTACTAATTAAAGTCCTCTCTCTTAGATGCTCCATGGGAAGCACGTGATGGTGCGTGTGGGTGGAGGTTGGGACACTCTGAAAGGGTTTCTGATGAAATACGACCCCGACCGCGTGCTGCAGTTCACCACTCTGGAGCAGAAGATTCTAGCCTATCAGAAAGGCCCGTCCGGCTCAGGCCCCGCCCACAGCTTGCAGGCCACACAGCCTCCCACAATGGACCCCATCGCAGCCGTTAACCTCCTCCCAGAATCCTCCTCTTCATCGTCATCCTCCACGACATCTGTGTCCAAACCCAACACGCCTACACCCGCGTCCCGTGGTGTCGCCCAGTCGCCCGCTTCCACGCCCTCGATGCCTCGCAGAGCCGCCGCACCCAAGAAGATTTTTCATACGCCCACCGCTTCACCGAAAATGACCCCTCTTTCATCGCCCGTCCCGAAAAGAAGCCCACTTCCCCAGTCAACCCAAAAAGCCCCTTCCGCTGCATCCAAGACCAGACTGCGCCCGCGTGGATCTCCGTCTCAACCTCACAGTCCCGTCTGTCCCGAACCCACCTGCAAGCTGCCTAAACCTTCAGCCCCACCGACATCTGCGCAGAAACCTGCCCAGCGCAACAGCCGCCCTCCTCCGGCACCCGTCCGCTCGCGGCTCGCCCAGAGACGCCCTCCTTCCCCTGCCTCCGCCCTGCACTTAGAGTCCAGGAAGGGCCGTCCCGTTTCCCCTCACTTGGCTCCGAATGACCCCAAACAGACGATTCCTCTCGCAAAACCTTGCAAGAGTAAATCTGTAGAGCAGAGCACAGCTGCTACACGAACTGTTGCGTCTGTCAACGCTAAAACAACCCACAGGAAACCTCTGGTCAGCAGTAACCCTCCCGTCCAGACGCCCGCTGTGAGCAGCACTACCCACAAACACACGGCACGGACGAAACCCAGCAAACGTGACGAACCCTACTTTGAGATGAACAGTAAGAGAAGGGTAAAGAACTAAGAATGCTGGGATATGTATGTATGCGTCACGATTCACTTCCGGATTTATTCGGATGCCATATTTAATTTTAAGTGAAAACGAGGCTGTGATCGATGTGTGCAGTCTGTTTGATTTGTTGGATTTTTTAAATGTTGAAAGTACATTTTCAAAACATTGAAAATATATTTCTAGTGGCCAAGCTATGAAAATGAGACTTTTAATTCAGAACAACCTATTAAACATACTGCACATCTGTCTTTAACAGCCACATTTTCATTTGCAGGAAATTAAGTGACATAACCTGTTTTTTTTTTTTCTTCTCATCTGTCAAAACTTCTGTCTCAGGCTTTGATTCGTGCTGGGATATATAGTAGCTACTGCGGCGCTGAGGGTCACGCTTCACATACAGATTTATTCGGATGCCATATTTAAATGTATTTAAGTGAAAACAAGTGCAGTCTGTTTGATTTGTATGTTTTAAATGTTGAAAATACGTTTTCGAGTCATTGCAAATACATTTTCGTTTCTTTGAAAATGTTTCTACTGCACAAGCTATGAAAATGAGACTTTTAATTCAGAACAGCCTTTTAAACATACTGCACATCTGTCTTTAACAGCCTCATCATTTTCATTTACATTAAGTTAAATATGACATAATCTGTTTGTTTTCTTGGCATCTGTCAAAATGTTCAAGCTTTCATTTGTGCCATACTAAAAATCCTCAGGTTATGCCTCGGATACATTTTACACAAATTAACACGTTTTTAATTTCTTCTTTAGCTACTGTAATTATCATTATTTTAGCTAAGAGGTTAGGAAGCATTTATAGGTTTAGTTTAAGTGTTTGAAATTATGCACGGTTATGCACAAACTCATATCATCGTCATCTTTTGTGTTTAATATCCGTTACTTTTTTTTTTTTTAAGTCAGTCCATGTCTGTTACGCGATCTGATTTGACTCCTGATTGGGTTATAAATGTATTAACATTGCTTATTAATACCGTAAATCATTTATTCACTGTAAGTCAATGTATTCTGAGCTCATAAGAAAAACCAGCAGAATGTTGGAAAGGTAAAGTCTTTATGCATGATGTGCTGCGGGGCATTCAGATCACGTGACACGTGCAAAGGTCTGCTGTTCTGTTTCCACTTCATATTTACATTGAGAGCACTGTTACTGTATTACATAAGAGACATATGTAGATGAATCCACTCTCGTTGTTCCAGCTCTAATCTGACACCCCATAATATGCAGAAACACCTCTCTATGGCAACCAAAGCGAAATTCATGTTTGAATCTTGTATGGCATCATTTTAGAGCACATTTTAAAAACTATTTTAGAGTATTAAGGGTTTACCTGCCTTAAATTTGTGTTTGTTGGAATATAGGTGTGGTTTATTATCAAACACACTTGAAGAGCTGTATTTAGTCAGGATGGTTAGTTTGGCAGGTACTGCGAAATTAATTTGTTTTAAGTTGGTCAAACAGCCAGCTGTTATTAAATGAAATGCTACCTCCTTTACGCCACACAAATACTACTGACTCAGTCATGCCCATAAACACCTGAGCTTTTATTTTATTACACTGTCCAAGACAATGCTAAATATTTTCCAGTTTATTCAAGAGTTGTGGTCTATACAGAAAGGTTATTATAAATATTAATTTTATGTGTAAAGGTAATTGTTCGCTTTTTTTCCGGATATGGTTCTTTTAATTATATATTTGTGCGCTAGATTGTGTGAGAGAGATATTCTTCCAGCACTTTAAGAAAATGTATGTTTTGAATGTAGCTTATTTTCGTTGTTTTGTTTGTTTGTGTCTTTGCATTCTGTCAAATAAAGATCTATACAGTGTATAATTTGCTTGTAGCCTACTTCAACGGCAACTAATTCGTTCAGAATACCAGGTAAGTTTATTTTATCTTAATTTTTGTACTAGCATTGTGTAAATATCAGGATATTACAGTGAAAATTAGTTTTACTACATCAATCTCTGTTGATATGAGATTATAATAGTTTATGTGTGTGATAGTGCTGCGGCCTAGTGGCTAAAAACACAAACTACAACCTCAAAGTTACCAGCATTTTATATTTGACTTAAACAGTGCAGTCTAAGCAGTAGTTTATGCCAGGGTTATTATAGTTAACTAAAAACTAAAACCATAAAAAATGACTGAACTCCAACTCAAATACTAGGACAATGGACTAAAATGGTAATAAAAAAAAATAGAAACATTTTGTCTTTGTAGTGTAAATGTGTACAAAACTTTTTAATTTCAGTCAGTTGCCAAGAAAATGTATTTTAATGTAGTTTAACTTAATGTGCTAAAATAACTAAAACTGAATAAAAATATATAGACATTAAAAATACTAAAAACAGCAAAATTACTAAAAACGTATTAAAAAAATAATAATTGATTCAAAATAATAATTAAAACTATAATGCTATCTCAGTGATACTAAAATAATGCGTCCAAAATAATTGTCAACATGCATTTTAGTGCGTCCAGCATTAACACGTTAATTAAAAAGTTCTTTTCAGTCAGCATGCTGATACATATAATCACTTTTTAAAAATCTAACAATTCTTGTAAATAAATTTTTTATCGACTGACTCTTTTCAATATTAAGTAAGCACGTGTTTCTTTGGCCAGCTCATGCAAGTATGTTCTTGGTTCAAACGACTCAAATAAAGCAATTTAATACAGAATATTTTCGATGTTTAACCACATGATGGCGCACTCTACCCACTTTTATTGATCATATCTGGCTACTTACAGCTTTTCCCCCTTCAAAACCTTAATATGCTACTTAATATCTGGGGTTGTCTGAGTTTAGCAAAGACTGGATATATAATTCTGTTTTGCTCGTGTATCCATCAGATGATAGACTAATATTAAACAGATTAGGTGGGCAATCTGGTAGAGTGGCTTATGTCTAATAACTTCTCTGATGATGCAGGTTTTTAGTTGCTGAAGTAAAGCTGCATGTAAACTGAGTCCTTCAGTTCAGTCTTTATGTCTGTACATTTCTATATGCACTGTTTGCATGGTTTCCTCATGACATGTCCAGTCCTTTAAGATTTGTCCAAGGGAAAAAATAATTTCAAAGACATTGCATTTAGAAAAAGCATAAGATGATCATATTTAACAATTTCCATCGCAATTCTAGGCCTAGACATTTTAAAATCCGCTGATATTTCCAGGTTTTCCATCACCGTGAGAATCCAGTACATAAATGCATGGTTTACACAGCTGCATTTCTTAGCAGACATAATAAATATACAACTTAACAGTACAAAACTTTAGATATTAAAATACGGAAACAGAGCATTTATATACAACAATAAATGAACACAAACTAGGTTTACAAATCTAACTAACCAAAATATTAAAGAGTCAAATATCGTCCAGACTCCAGCTAAAATGATTCCCCATCAAGTTTATTACGTGTTATTTAAAATATGATATAAATCTAATGTAGCTAGATAAATATATAACGTTATTCGTGTGGCTTCACTCGCGCAGCGCTCGAGCTGCGTCAAACCCAGAGCGCGCGGACATTATTCTCCACCGCGCGACGCCTCAACATATCAGCAGGCGCAACAAAACGCATCCCAAACTCGCTCGAAATAGCGTTAAAAATACAAAACTCCGCTTCCTTGAACTGTTCTTATCGTCTGCTTGACAAAATGGGGTCTTTCGCGTCGAGCTCCGCCATTTTGTGGCAGAATAACTTGCGAGAGGGGTGCGTGTAATGGTTGAATGTAGTCACCCCGTGTCGTTTATATCCGCCCGGCGGTTATTACAAGGGACCGGGAGTAAATTACGGTCCATCCGCTGCAACAAAGCGCAGATTGTGCTCCTTTAACTGCAGACACCACGGTTTAACTTAAGCTATTAATGTTTATTTCAGAGCAGCGCTCTGTGCCAGGTATGTGGCGTTTTGTCACAGACTGCAAGGCTTTCTGTCATACATTTTCATAAGTATATAGACTATATATAGAATATAGCAAAACTCAGTTAGTAGTTCAAATGACACGTGACTTTGTTTTAATAACAAATATTGAAAATCTATTAATTTAAACTTCTTTCTCAAAGTTATTTGTGGGGGACAGAAAACACCTAACACTTAGTTGGTGTGTCCCAAATCGCGTACTTATGCACTATTCTATGAAGTTTTGCGGTATAAATCATAGATTTGTGACACATTCGACCGATCCAGATACGTTGATGTGTCCGCCATTTTGGAACGGTCAACTTGACCTCATTCACCATAATAATCAATGAATATTCAAAGATATACATGCGTATAACTTGCTGTTGTAGACGCACACAGTCAACTTGCGCTCGAGGGTTCGCAGACCGTTTCAAAAATGGCGGATGGCTTACGAATCGCGGCCCATAGAAACAGTCGCTAATGAGGAATCTACGTATATATATATCTATGGTATAAATAGTGTGAGTAATGCGTTCACACTGAAAATTCCAAAAAGAAAAATTGCACTTTAAATACCCAGATGATGCACTTAAATAACTTAAATGATTTAAGTGCACCATCCGGGTATTTAAAGTGGCTTTTTTCTTTTTGGAATTTTCAGTGTGAATGCATTACTCGCACTATTTATACTGCAAAACGTCATAGAATAGTGCATAAGTACGCGATTTGGGAGGCACCAAAAATAATCTTATGTAATTCATACACTACATGGTTGACAGTGTTTCCCATACATTGATTTATTTGTGATGACCTCTCTCTAAAAGAATATAATAAGGTTTCAAATGTATTTTTTGTTCTACTCAAAGAGTAACTTTGTAACTGTGGTTGAATCATAAAATTATGTCACTGCATTTTTCGTCAGTCATGCTCAGTTTGATTCATGAACAAATCAGACAGGCTGTGTTGATAGGATCAACCAAGAACAGGATGATTAATTCACAAATTCTCTTGAAAACGGCAGGTACAACTAAGATCGATGTCAAGATTTTTTTGTGAATAATGATTACTTAAAAATGAACTTTATTAAAATATATGCTGATAAAACCAATGTCATTAATCATAGGCATAGACTTCTGTCAACTCTCTATATGAGGATATAAACACATGAACTTCATCTTTAGAACTGCTCTGAGAGTCACTTCACCAGCAATTCACCATTTCATTTGAGAAAACTATCGTCATGTCATATACATGCACACATAGAAACTAAAAATAACAGTTCGGTTTAACCTGAATGCATTTTGACAGAAATATATTACTATTGTACAATAGAATGTACGTCTCAAAGTATTAATAATAATAATAACTTATTTTTATAGGAATAATCAAAATTTTTCTTCCATGTTTAAGTTTGAACAGTAAACATCTGTTGTGCAGCACTTTGTTCGCAAAAAAAAAAAAAGAAAGTAATAGTTACATTTTCATTTGATTTAGTGTTAATTTTGTCAGCCATTTTTTATTTAGTCTTAAGCCGTTTCTCAATATGCGTTCTTGTCTGTACTTGCGTTCTTGTGGACTTGTGAAACGTCATCAGTTGTTGCCCAAGTACTGTTCCAAGGCTGCGTTCCACTCCACTTTTAGACAAGCACTTGCAAATTTCCCTAAGAACTTCCCCTCGGGGGAATCGCCGCTGCCATTTTGAAGTGCGTTCCACTTTGTGAAGTGGACGAGGGAAGTTTAAATGGACAGACCCTCGACCCCTCGATTTTGATTTTGATCCAGGTGATCACTGGGCGCTCAGTGCTCATGTAAGCTGCCGAGAGCAGCCTTACCTCGGCTAGTCATTCTGACATTTGCCACTAGCTCTAGTGTTCATTTTGTCAGCTATTTTTAATTTAGTCTTAGGCTGTGTCCGAAACCACTCCCTATCCACTATATAGTGCACTATATTGGGTGTCAGTCATTTTGTAGTGCTGTCCGAATTCTGAGTGAACTACTTCATTCCCTACATTCGTTCACTACGTTTTACCCACAATGCATTCTGATTTCGAGTGTACAACTGATGTAAGCACTATTTTCCACAAAAGTTTGAATGCCGTTATTATTTCTGCTTTAATGTTTATTTCATGCATTATTTATATTAAAATATATTATGTAGGCATTAACTCAGTTTAATATTTTATTCATTTACTGAGGTGGCATCTTTGTTAATTTACAAAAATTATGATAATTTGATGGATATTTAAAAATGTCCGTTGGTAGCATATTCATTCTTATATAAATTTAACGGTCGCCTGAGGGCACTCTATGACCATTTGCATCTTATCTGAGGCCCCGTTTGCACTAGTGCATTTTCGTTTTAAAACGCATAACTTTTGCTATGGTATAGTATGGTTACACTACTCCGGCGTTTTCAACCCTCGAAGACGGAGACTTTTGAAAATGCAGACCCCATTTTTGTTTGAAAACTCCGGG